GGCCTGTGCTATCAGTGGGTCATCTTTCACCTTGTTTCTCAAATTGGAAACTGTAGATCCTGCAGCCTCCTGATGTTATTTTCAGAGGTACACACATTGTGGGATGTTTAATATATATATATATATATATATATATATATATATATATATATATATTAAAAATCTTGTAGATGGTCCATTTGTTGAGCTGTTGTAAAAACTGCCACAAATTTAACTTATCAAACAACTGTTCATTGCTACACCATCATGAAGGCTGGAGGTTCAAGATCTCCACTTAGTGGCTTCCCAGGGATGACAGAGGGAATTTATTACATTCTTTTCCTGGCTTCTGAAAATTTTGGTATTCTTTTTTCCATAGTCTCTGCCATCACACTTGCTTGGCATTTTCCTTATTGTGTATTTGTGCATCCTCGTTTGCCAATTTTTTATTAGGATACCAATGTATTAGATAAAGGTCTGCCCTACTGACATTGTTTTGACTCGGTCATTTATAGACTATGCTATTTCTAAGTAAGGTCCCATTCATGGTTCTTGGATATTCAGTGTCTTTTGGGGGAAAACGTTCATTTCACAATCTTCTATGTAAGTCATACCAACCAGAGTTTAAAGATGTGATGAAGGAAAGCGACTTTAGTTGTCTTGGTACTAATTATATCAATAATAATATTAATCATTTATTAAATTCTGTTCATGCTCATCATCCACTCAAGTTGTCATAATCTCCATTTGTTAGCTGAAAGTTTTGGTGAGACTGACACATGGATGAGCTATGTTTAGACTCAAACTATTCCCTGCTTTACATAGTCTTTTCGATCTCCTAAAACTCAAGTAAGATCAGCATTTGTTAGTAAGCAGAACCTCAGCTCTGAATGTCCACAATCCTTTTTATTCTTAAATCATGTGCACATAAAATCAAAGTACAGTCAAGGATGTAAGACCATGCATGGACTCAATCTTGGGTGGGAATGAGAAGAGACTCCAGGACACCCAGGCATGTGTGTCTTGATAGGGTACTCTTCCTTGAGGGAGAGCACTACTGAAAAGCTCAGGGGAGCAATGGCTCACTCTAATGAGATTCAGTCACAAAATAGTTAATGTACCCCAACTCAGCCATGTTGATACTGGCACTCCTCCACCTAAAAAAAAGAGATGAAGGGATCCTCTCACTCACTCGATGCATGTCTCAGCTGGGAGTCAGTTTTAAGATCTTTCATGGGAAGTTGAATTTTCTTTCAAAGTTGTCAGTCTGCTCTGGTGACACCATTGTCTTCTGGACACATAAGGGAAACTTATATGATTGGGACCTATTTTGAGATTTGGGCAGCTAGACTTGCCTCTTGGAAAGTTTGGGATGCTGAAGTCTGACGGAGAAGCCAGTCATTTCAAAAGACAGTAATTTCCTCGTGGATTGGGTACTTACTATTGTTTATTGAACAACCCTGCTCCCTCTCCCTTTGGCCCAATCTCATGCCATAAGATATTTCCAACTTTAAGGCAAGCTAGACATAAATCAGGAATGAAATTGCAGTTAAGTTGTAGAGCCAGCTTGTTTCCATTTGGGGATAGTCTCCAATTGAAGAACTGGCTTTGCAATGTCATTTCAAAGACTGTTGTTTCAGTTTTTGCTTTGACAAGTAAGTTCAAAGATCAGAAACTGCATATGCAATATGGGTTTTCAACTGCACTACTCCCAGCCTGGCAATTTCCAAGTCGTTTTTCACATTGTTATCAGAAGTACAGAGGCAAATCATGTTGAAGGGAATACTTTATTGTAGCCAAATAACTACCTTATCCCCACAATGCTTCTGGGGTAGAAACCTAGCAGAAGGTCTCATAGTGTAAATTTGCTTAGCCCAAGTAAAAGCATTATAGGCCTCTGCATGGAATGGAATATTGAATGTAACTCCTCCTTTGTTTTGTTCCTACTCCCCTTCATTCTAGTCTGCTTGCTAGTTATTTCAGGATTGAGAGTTATTTCATTTAAAACAATTGTTATTTATTTGAAAACAGCACTAAGTAACACTGGCTCTTTTCTTTTGAAGTGTAGCATTCTACATTTGAACTTTCTAAGCCAGGGAAGCAAATAATTCTGGTTTTTGGCTTTACTTTTGCTGTTGAAGTACTGTGTCTGTGAGAGAACATGTAATACACATGGTGGCAAATGCCTTCCCACCCTTCAGAACCATGTGGAATGAAATTCCACTGTCTAAACAATGGGGGAACTTTTGACTGAACCTTCATTGTTCAATTGTATCTCAGTGAAATAAAGGAAACACAAGAAACATGCTTGGATTCAGAAGTAAGTCCAAGCACATCAATACATGTTATCAAGTGTCCATTAGAAAATGGCCAAGGAAAACTGCCATGGCTTGGTCATATTGTATATGGACCTTTCTAATCAATCTTCCATAGTGGGTTCTACTCACCCCTCATCTTTCAGCGCATCTTTTCATCTGCTGCCATGGACAGGTGTGGCATGGTACAGTAGAGACTCAAATTATGTGCAAGCCAGGTTTACATCTGTCCTCTGTAACACCCTTTCAAAGAATTCCACAGAAAGTTCGATGCAAAAAGCTAGTGTTAGATATTCTCACAACATACTGTAAGTTAGATGGATGCTGAAACCTCAGAGAACTGAGATTTCTACTCTTGGACAAATTTGTTGAGCTTTATAGGACTTTACTTGAAATTTTCCTTGTATTTGTTATAGACACTTACAAGTGTGCTTTAGCTTGGTTTAAAAATGTGAGTTCTGTGTCTCTTACTACACAGGATAAAGGCAAAAGATAAGAGAGAAAAGGAGAAAGGGTCTTGTTTCTGGGAGGTAGAGATGATGTGCTAAGTTCAAGAACAGTTTTCCCAATGGGGGAGAGAGGCACTGTGTGGCATTTAGACACCACAACTTCCTATCATAGCTCTCTTTGTGTAAATGCCTAGAAACATGAAGGTTGATCCTGAGAAGCTGAATGACCTTACCTACTAAAGGGCTCACACACTGGAGCTGAAGTCTCTACTTCACATGGTCTTGTCTTCTGCTACAGATTTTGTTAACTCTTTGTAGTCCAAGTACAGTTTATTTTCTGATTGGCTTGTAATTATTATTTTGAATGGCCTGCAGCAGATGCTTGCTTAGGCAAATGCAATTGACTAAGAGCAATTGAAAAAGCATCTTCCTATTTCCATCCATATTCTTGCTTATCACAGATAATCAGCTCTGATAGTCTGGGATAGTCTGAAAATGTTTCTTATAAACATCAGTTCACAGTGATTCTATTTTAGTTGAAGGAAAGAGAATGTAAGTGCTCTTCATAAATTTGCCTGGAGATGTGCATTGGACTTTATGCCAAATTGGATTACATAGAATATTTATTTTTGTAGCAATAGTTATATTGCTAAAATCATAGTCCTTGATACCTTGATAATTACTTAGGGAAATTTCAACCATTCATATAGCTATGTCCCTTGAGTATTACAGATTATCTTCACCCATGTTTCTTGTACCTATGAGATTAGTCAGACATAGGTGTTAGATCTTCAAATACTTCATAGACCTGCAGAACATGGCATTTAAATGTTTTAATATTTAAATTAAATTTAAATATTTAAATTAAACGAGGCACAATTGCACCTGACAGCACGAGTTATTCCTGAGAGTATATTGGGCACTGATGTCACTCCTTCTGGGGTCCATCCTTTCCTTGGCTAATGGCCTCTTGGACAAAGAAATGCCCCACCTGGACCAATGATTTGGACATGCTGCCCTATTGTGCTTGCAGGAGACAAACATAGAAGACTGCAGAAATTTGCCAAGTCAGGTAAGACAGCCTTTCTACCTCCTTGCTTCTGTAGTGGTCAATCAGAGACTCTAGGCCTTAGGCAAAACTGGTTGCCCGACACTGATGTGAGATTTTAGGTGACTGTCTAGGTAGCTTTCTGTTTCTGTCTTCGCTGCATTGGGGCATGGACAGGGGCAGGCATGACCTGGGAGAACTGGGTCTGGGATCCTGGATCCCAGCTTGCTCTCTGTCATAGATAGAGAGCATCTGGAGGCATCCTTGGGATGGGAACTTGTAGCAGTCATCTGTTTCTGGTGTGATTTCTCCCTGAATAAACATTCATCAGTCTGTTGTTTCCCAGATACTCATTTACCATGTTTTATTTTTTTCTCCCTTAACAAATAGTTGAGCTATCAGAATTAAAAATCATTTTTATTTAAGATGTGTTTATTTAGTGTCTTGTTTTGAGTTCAGCACCATGTGCCTGTGTACTTGTTGTTTATATGTACTCACACATGTAGGTCTAGCTTGTGAGGCATCTCTTTTGAGATGCATGTTTTTAGATACATATATTGAACCAAAAAGGTGAATTTCTTGCTCTTTGATTTTCTGGGGCTGGAGACCAAACCCAATGCCTCATACATGGTAGACAAGTGTCCTATCACTAAGGTGCATTCCACCTCCGGGAATTTTCATGAAAAGACTTAAAACAAAACAAAACAAAATCCCAGTATATGCCACTGTGCCCCTACACCACACCTTGTAGGCAAGTTATGCTAATTACGAATATAAGTATAGGGATCAGAGAGATGGCTCAGAGGTTAAGAACTCTGGCTGCTCTTCCAGACATCCTGAGTTCAGTTCCTAGTTTGCAAGCAGAATCAGAATACTGTATACATAATAATTAAGCATTAAAAAAAGAATATAAGTATGTTGTCAGTAGCCTGAAAGACTAGTAGCTGTAACTTGTTACTCTCTCATTTTACATGACTTGCATTACCAGTGTTTTCTTCTTCTTCTCCTCCTCCTCCTTCTTCTTCTGCAGTGAACTTTATTGATGGTACTCAAGAGAGCAGGGCTCTGTAAGCCCCTTCATTCTGGGGGTCTGGGATGAAAACTGTGAGGAAGATTAGTGTCAGGGGTTGTTGGACAGGGATTGCTTAGCAGCCAGGGCGTCTCTCTTGCTCATGTCCTTGCTGGGGGTGGATGGTCCAAGATGGGCTCTTACTCCTTGGAGGCCATTGAGGCCATGAGGTCTACTACCCTGTTGCTATAGCCAAATTTATTGTCATACCAGGAAATGAGCTTTACAAAGTTGTCATTGAGAGTGATTCCAGCCCCAGAGTCAAAGGTGGAAGAGTGGGAGTCGCTGTTGAAGTTACAGGAAACAACCTGGTCCTTGGTGTAGCCCAGGATGCCCTTCAGTGAGCCCTTGGATGCCTGTTTCACCACCTTCTTGATGTCGGCATACTTGGCAGCTTTCTCCAGGTGGCATGTCAGGTCCACGACGGACAAATTGGGGGTAGGAACATGGAAGGCCATGCTAGTGAGCTTCCTATTCAGCTCTGGGATGACCTTGCCTACAGCCTTGGCAGCACCAGTGGATGCAGGGATGATGTTCTGGGCAGCCCCACACCCATCATGCCACAACTTCCCAGAGGGGCCATCCACAGTCTTCTGGGTGGTGGTGATTGCATGGACTGTGGTCATGAGTCCTTCCACAATGCCAAAGTTGTCATGGATGACCTTAGCCAGGGTGGCTAAGCAGTTGGTAGTGCAGGAAGTGTAGCTGACAATCTTGAAGGAGTTGTCATATTTCTCATGGTTCACACCCATCACAAACATGGAGGCATCAGCAGAAGGGGTGGAGATGATGACCCTCTTGACTCCACCCTTCAAGTGGGCCCCAGCCTTCTCCATGATGGTGAAGATGCCAGTAGACTCCATAACATACTTGGCGCCAGCATCACCCCATTTGATGTTGGTGGGATCTCGCTCCTGGAAGATGGTGATAGCCTTCCCATTGTTGACAATCTTCCCATGTTCAGCCTTGACTGTGACCTTCATATCATTGCTTAAGAAAGAACACTGGCTGGGCATTGGTGGCACAGGCCTTTAATCCCAGCACTCAGGAGGCAGAGGCAGGCGAATCTCTGAGTTCGAGGTCAGCCTGGTCTACAGAGCTAATTACAGGACAGGGTGCAAAGCAACACAGAGATACCCTGTCTCAAAAAAAACAAAAATAAGAACACAGGAATGTCATAGATTCAACTTACAACTTGTTTTTTGAATGTTGATCGTACAGAATGTGACTTGCTACTCTAACTGTATTTGTCATGCTCGAGTTAGAACCTTGAGTATCAGTCATTTTTTATTGTTTTTAATAAATATACTAAATTTAATAAATATATTAAATTGCATAAATATTAGCAATTTTACAATTTCTAGTGGATTGGGATATTGATATCCCCCCCTCTGCTACTCCCAGTCATAGGTGATGTGTGGATGAATGGGCAAAAGATTCTTAGCTTTAGGAGATAGTGTGCTCATGATGTCTCATCTGTCTCCTTCTCTACCTGAAGGCAAAGTTCAGCATTACTTTCCCCACTGAATTAAGTAAGTTTCAGTGATTGGTGACATGGCTGTTAACAAGAACTCACCCCCTCCCTCCACCATTAGTAACCCTAACTTGACAAAGAAACTTTTCTATGTCAATCCCAGTGCAACAAGGATATTTTTCTAGGGCCATGTACTTTGAATCATTCTGTATAGTAAGCAACTTGATATTTTAGTTTGTTGAGTATGCAGTGTGTGTGTGTTTGTGTGTGTGTGTGTGTGTGTGTGTGTGTGTGTGTGTGTGTTCTTTTGGAATATTTTATGGAATATTTTTCTATCCTTATTTCTAGAAATGTTTTTTCTTTCTTGAGCCTAGATCTGCAAGTTTATCAGTTCACTGATGTGACTGCAAGGGTAAGACTTTCAGACACATGATGGTGTATAAGAAAAAAAAAAGAGTTAGAGTTCCTTAGAGTTCCAGATAAGTGCTGATGACTTGAGCGATACTGCTCATTTTCCCCTTTTCAAGTCTGCTCACTCTTTACAAACCTTGCAAGTACCCTAATACCCAGGTTTCTCTAAGGATACTTTAAGTTTATTAGATAAAAAATTATTGAATTTAATTAATTTTATTAAATATCATTTTCCATTAATATCACAACATCTGTGTGTGTAGAAATTTTTACACTGTATATATTAGAGTGTGTCTTTGTGGGAAATGTTATATGTGTGGCATGTTAATTGTATCAGTTGCATCAAAGAGAAACAGCTACTATATGGCAAGTGTTACTATGTACTGTAACTCTGAGGTTGAATGTCTTTCCCTGGAATCATTGCCCAAGAAAGGTGTGATAATGCCAAGCAGTAGGGTGTATCATGCTACTCCTGCAACTGCTATCAGGGTTCAAATCCCAGCTCTCACACCTCCCAGCTGCATGAGCTCTGTGATTTGGCTTCTCTCTTATGATGCTAACAATGATACCTTCCTAGTAATATTGAAATGAGATTTGATGCATGTAGCTGAGACGTGCTTTTTACCTTAGGATTGATCAGTCTAACTCATAATATTTCTCCTTTTTATGTGTGCTGCTGTTTATGGGGGGGGGAGTGTTTGTGTGCACACAGAGGTTGGTGAAGTACATTGGAGGTCAGAGGAGGATGTCAGAGGAGAATGTCTTGTGTCCTGCTCTATCACTCTCTGTCTTGTTCCTTTGGGACAGGGTCTCTAAAGGTACCTGGCCACATAAATCCCCATTCTCTTCAATGGAGATCATTGGAATTACAGACATGCTCAGGCATGAACATGGGGAGGGGGTTCTTAGCAAGGTGTTAGTGATTCACAAGTTTAGTTCCAGCACTCAGGAGGCAGAGATAGGTGGATCTCTGTAAGTTTGAGACCAGCCTGGTCTACAGAATGAGTTCCAGGACAGGCTATAAAGCAATACAGAGAAACCTTGTCTCAAAAACCCAAAACCAAAACAAAACAAAAATGTGTGCAGGCATGAACATGAATGCTGGGGATTCAAATTCAGGTCCTCATGCTTGTTCAGCACGCTACTCTTGACCATGGCCATCATGCCATCTCCCTAGCTCCAACATTCCTTGTTTAAGAGGTTGATTTTTATTTAGGTATGTGTGCTTATCTCTGTGTGTGTATATGTCATGTATATGCTGGTGCCAATGGAAGTCAGAAGTGAGTGTTGGGTTCCCTATAATTGGATTTACAAACAGTTGTGAGCTGCCTAATATGGATGCTGGGAACTGAACTCAGGTTCTCTGGGAGAGCAGTAAATACTTCTCTAGTCCTCCTCACAGTTTTATGAAAAATTAAAATATAATTACATCATTTCCCCATTCCTTTTCCTCTCCCCAGTACCTCCCATGTATCTCTCCTCTTGCTCCATCTCAAAATCAAAGACTTTTTTAAAAAAAATTTACACACACCTATATATGCATACACATGCATATATATGCCTAACTATATTAATGCAGCCTGCTCAGACTGTTTAGTGTTTATTTGTAAGTATGTGATTTCAGGGCTGACCACTTAGTAGTATTGAATCACCAGTTAGGGAGCTTATCCTCAGGGAAGACTATTTCTCCAGCTTTCAACCTTCCTTAATTGCACAATTCCTAACTGCATTCTAAATACTTACCCTTACACCCACAGGTAAGTGTAGCCCTTGCCACTCATCAAAGCAAGTTCACTTTGTGACAGATGGGGACCGTTACAGAAAACCTCAATGGTCAAAATGCAGAGAACGAATGGTTGTGGCCCAGCCCCAATTAATACATCTACAACACAACTCCTCACATTAGGCTCAGAGAACATTTAGGAAAAAGGAAACAGAAAGATTGTGAGAGCCAGATGAACATAGATATGACAGAGAATATCTATGTATACCTCAACCACATGGCTGTCTAAACAAGACTTGAACAAGAACAACACTAATAGATGTACTAGCATGGAAGGAAGAAATCTCACAGGGCAACCACAAACTGCTGAGAGTAGGATGAAATACTAGGCAGGGTTTTATCATTTGAAGAGTCCCTAGATAGGCATTTGGTAGTAAACATCTTATTAGTCATGGCAAAAAAAAAGAAAAAAAGAAAAAAAAAAAGAAAAGAAAAGAAAAAAAAAAATGTTGAAGAGAGACAGCCCAACTAGTTAAAACAAATGGAATAAACTACATTGTTTGGGAGACAGTTTTGAAAATTAATGATGTCATATTCCTGTGACCTCCATTCTCAGTGCCAAGGGGGCCAATGGAAAGAAGTTACTCAGTTTTGCACATGGTTTGATTTGGGTGGGGTGTAGGTGACTGTGTAGCTGTGGGACCCTGGAAGCTGTGTTTATGAGAAGATGGGTCAGAAGTAATGAACTTCCTAAAAGACTTTCCTTTCCCCCGTAATTCACAAAGGAGTGTTTTGCTGTCATTTTGATATTTGCTTGTCTTTGGGTTTTGGTATTTTTAGAGACAGGGTTTCTCTATATCTTTGGCTGTCCTGGAACTCACTATGTAGACCAGGTTGGCCTCAAACTCACAGAGCTCCACCTGCTTCTACCTTCTGAATGCTGGGATTAAATATGTACACCACCACTGCTCAAAGGACTGTTTGAGAGTGGGAGGAATTCTGTCCATCAATAGCAATGCCATTTTGATTGGATATTGTCTTGACTATAGGCATTAACGAAGAGCTTGAGAAGTAGCTTGGATAAGTGTAGGAATGCCTTCGTGATAGTTAGAATTAAATCTGTCGTATGCCTCCTGTAATTACTCTAGTTACTTCCTTTACAGTCAATTGGAAAAAAGTCTTCGCTTTCCTTCCTTGACCATCACTGAGGTATTTGAATGTAACTTTGTGCTAAGTTTCTGTCTGTGTGACTAAAATCATACATGTCTTCCCATTCCTCATTAATCTATGGCTGTGCTAGAGACATGCTTTGTTTCCTTTTACAGAACCAAGCCCCACATTTGGTACATAAACAGCATAGCCTGGAGCAGAGTTGGGGAGGATGTGGTAGCCTTCTCCAGGGATGTACTCTTTTTAATGCAGTCCAAGATCAAAAGACTTTGGCAGCTGCAGTATTGCTTGAGTGGTAATGAGTTATAGGAATCTGTGCTGAGTTGTTTTCATCCATGCCACTGTCAACAGTCATAACTTGTTCCCCTTTTGGGGTACTAAATTCAGCACTAGTTTACATGAAATTCTAGCATTTTTAGATTTGACTCACCTCCCTGCTGGTTCATGTCATTTTTTTCCCCTTATAATCAATCAATTTTCCTACTAGGCCTAGTTAGAAAAACTATTTCAGCGATGAACCAGTAGATATTCTGTCTTCAAAACAGAAAAGACAATAAAAATATTATGCCGATTATCTACTGATAAGCTATTTATCAGATTGGAAATACTGGTGCGCTATAAGAATTATATGCAGTGTCCATGCGATTTAATTTATACACATGACTCCATTTTAAAGCAATTTGAAAATCATTGCACTCTTTCAAAATCTGTTCCAGAAATAAACATTGATAGTAGCCCCAAAAGTGTATCCCAAGGCTGCCCCTTATGTACCTTGTGGAAAATGTAGATGTAATCCCAAGTCCAGCATTTAAATCCAGTTGTTTAGATCTGTACAGAATTGATGAAACATGGATCAGGCAATCTTGAGGGTTAACTAAAAGAGCAGGCTGGAGCTTTCTGTTTTCTAGCTGTCTCAAGCCACATCTTCAGCTTCTCACACCTACATCCTAGCTGTCTTCTTCAGCTTCAGCTACAGTAAGCATCTGCATAGATGACTTTTATAAGTAGTCGTGTCTCATAGGAAACATGGCCTTTTCCTTATAGTGAGATAGACGTGGGACTCCCCTGTTGGAGCTGTGTTCATTGCTTACTTAATATAATCTCTCCCAGAGTTCTTTGCAGCATGGCCCACCTGGACACTGGCCTTTTGCTGAGCAGCCTTTGAAGTGTGTATACCTTAATGCTTCTTAAACCTGTATCTGAAGCATATGGCTTATTGTATGCAGCAACTTGTTGCT